ATACAGCATCTGTATTATCAAATGGAAAAGTATTAGTTACTGGTGGATGGAATTTTGTAAGTTCATTCAATAGTACTGAATTATATGATCCATCGTCAAGTACTTGGACAACTACTGGTAATATGAATAATGCACGACATGCTCACACAGCATCTGTATTATCAAATGGACTAGTATTACTTGCTGGTGGGGCTGATAATAGTGGTAGTTTAAATAGTGCAGAATTATATTAAGTATTTCAAACAAATTAACTTTCACTTATCTGATTTTTTGTCTTGCAAGTAGTTCAAATTGCGAAGTGTTTCTTTTCGTATTTTTACTTGATTATCGCACATTTTAATATTTGATCCCAAATAAAAAATAAATATCCTTGTTTTTCTACTCGTATATATTAGTCTATTATGATTAACAAAACTTATAATTGATACGATAAATTTAATTATCCTTTCAATTGTTATCTTAGCTTTACAGCATTGTTTTGATAGTATTCATCGGATTTAGAATGTATAATCATTGGCAAATTTCGCTGGGTGTGGGTGCGTGTCGGTGTAGCATAATTATGGTACCCACACCCACCCATCCTCAAAAGTTGTTAGTTTTATTAGTCTCTTTCAAAATCATATGTAAGATAGATTTCTGCGATTTGTCAAAGATAATTCGTGATCAACACACATAACAAAGTACAGGTACGAAGCACTATTCTCTTACTTAAGTACAAAGGCAAGTATACTTTTAGATTTTTCTAAAAACTTAACATAGCTTTTAAAGTTTTGTTTTCTAAATCAGCATGTAAAACTGAAGAAGAACAATGATCAAGTTAGTTGTTGATGCTGAATCGGAATAATTTAGATTCAAAACATGTTCGTGGCTCTAAACAATTGAAATCTAGAATTTTTATACAAATTGTCTAGTTATTATTTTTTTTGGTCAAAACTTGATTTTCAAAATCGGGGAAGAATACATTCGTAATATCCTCTATCGAACAATATGTGATTCGTTCAAATCTATCGTCTGCTACTTTTTTTTCATTCCTAGCACCTTAAAATAAAAGCACTGAACAACAAAACAAATCTGAAACGTGATTAAATGTGATTTATTTCTTTAATCTATCTCAACACCTGATCCATTATATTTTAGTTCATAATTAATATAAACATTGAATGTTCTTGCATGGAGTTCAAACCATGTAAAGACTGGTTCACTAGCGCATTTGATATTTATTATTGATAATTTGGAACATTTTGTTAATATTAATAAAACATCATCAACATTATCGATATCACAATGAAGTTCTTCGACATTTGAAAATGTTTTACAAAACCAATCTATATCTTGAATTTTATTATATTGATAATAATATGGACAATTATATTGATAATAATATGGATTACAATAATCGAACATTTTAATCTTTTTGCTTAAAAGTTCACAGAGTTCGTGATTAGTGTAAAATGAACTTGTAATTTGTTTCTTTAAGATTAATGATGATATATTTGGCATTTGCTTTAATATTTCGAATAGTAATTCTGATTTAATTACAGACCTTTTTGTAATTTCCAATTCTACGATATTTGATAAGTTGACCATCTTCTTCAAATGTTCTATTTTCAATTCGTACTCATCGTCTTCATCGTCTTCATCACAATGAACACGATTACTTTCTAAACTTAATGATTGAACATTTCGAAAATACCATGATGAATCATCTCTAATTGCACCAACAAATAAAGCTAAAGACTTAACATTATCAAATTCATTTAAAACATTTGTCGGTGAACTATTGTATTTTTTCATAGTAGATGTTAATATATAGTACGTGGGTATGTATGGTACAGTATAAACTAATGCTCTTCCGTCATCGATTACATAATTGATATACCAATTATGTTGATGCCAAAAATCAGTTTGAAATGCTGAAAGCTTGATTAACATATTATCGTAAGATTCAGAATTGTAATAATCAAAGGTAAAGTTGAATACACGTAATCGTGGTAATGAAGATTTGATGAGATGTTGCCATTGATCAGCATCAATCATATCATCTGCATTGGTAGTCCAGATTGAAAAGATTTTCAAGTTTGGAATACATTTTAACAGCACTTCGAGACGTTCAAAAGAAATCCAAGAATGAGCTAGATGTAATTGTTTTAAATAAACAGCACATATCTTACTAAAATCAGATTTATAGTCCACATTGTTATCATCTTGCATATTATCATCATTAAACATGTCGATTTTTATATATTTTAACATCGATGTATAATTCAATATTGTTAGTAATTCAGGTACAGTACACACATTAATTCTTAATGATGTAACTGACGATGTTCCATAAATAGATGTTGGACGATAGTTTGCTAATGTTAGCACTTGTATTTTCGATTTAGATATAGCCTGTGCTTTTAATCTCCATTCAGGAGCATAAAATCGGTATAAATTAGGTAATAAAGTTAACATAGATGAGACTTGTTCTTCTTCTTGTTCACTACGATAATTAAACTCGCCAATAAATGATAATGATCGAAGGTTAATAAATTCATTTAATGCAAATAATGAAAAAAATGATTCAATTTGTCCACGTAAATCTATATTTGATAATTTTAAATAAATGATGTTTCGTTTTATTTCCGGATTTATGCGTATTGTTTGACAAAACTCTTCAAATAAAGGCTTTTTAACTTGTTCAAAATTGAGATGTAAATGAATGTTTCGAATAAGTATATAAAACTGATCGTTTAATCGATCAAATGAATAAAAGATATCGGGTGCATTGAGATACTGAAAGCATTCAATGAGTATTTCGTTTGGTAATTGTTCAAATTTCATCCTGCTCGATATTTTATCTAGAATGAAAAAAGAATAACAACATGTATTTATCGGTAATATATCCGCATGCTCTATGTTATAGGTAGTATATGAGTAAAAGAAAGAATGTGGGAAGAAATAATTTTAACTTGTTCTTTTATACTGTACATAAGTCATTGGTTTACCTTTAATTAACGATATTCTGTGTAGAGACTCAATATACAGAGACATCTTTTTATTATAGTTTGTAATTTATCAAACATTAACATACAGTGAAATATTTCGTAAAAGTGTGTGATAAATACACGTTAATATTCTATAGATTTCACGCATGACAATCGCTTTTTGTTACGATGAACTTCTGTACCTATTATACGAGTATACTAGATATTTAAAACATAACAAAATGTGATGTAAAACAACAAATGTTCAAGCTGAAGATAATCGCTATGAGAAGGATAGATGTGGGTGTGGGTGTTAAGGAATATTCTTCTCTCACAACCATACACCCACACCCTCACATATAAATTATTTTATCTAGATATTTCATTATTTTTCTTCTACTGAGGATGTCTGTTGCGAATAATCTAATTGACTTGTTTTACTATTATGGAGTTGATAATAAACTAATGGAACTTTTATTTATTGTAGGCTGACTTAAAAAATAACTTCATGATCTGATTGTATTTTAAAATGAATTGATTACTTGATCAACAAACAGTACAAAGATTTCAGTGCAAACCATTTTCGAATATCTTGAAAAAGTTTATTACGAAATCTCTTATAAACATTGGTTCGATCAAACTTCTTGTTTTGAAAGTGAATAGTGTTGAATATATTGACAATCAAAAAAATAAGAAAGTATATTTAAACTCTTACACTAAAACAACATTCTGCAAAACGAAACATACAAATACAAAAAGCAGAGTAATAAAAAGCTTCTAACTAATGTACAACAATACAATAAGTCATAAAGAGAAACAAAGTGATGTTTCACAAATGAATATTGATTTCAATATAAATATTGCTAACATCAAATAAATAAAAAACCGACGATACATAAAGCGAATGATAAGAGCATGATATAATATGAGTTCACAGTTTGTTATGTAATGTTTGCTCTACCAGGAGTCATTTTCGTATTTACAGGTGTCACATCGTTTGTATTTTTGCCAAAATAACAAAAACAGCGTTTGACTTGTTGGCGAAACGTTTTTGAGACAATGAGAAATACATAGAAACCACTCTTTAGACAAGAAAAATAATTAACAAAATGATGAAATAAAGGATGTCTTACTTACTCCATATGTGAGATTACCTAAAGAATTGACAATATTAAAGATGAAATATTCAATATTTTCTTGTTCCGCCGTTTTGTTCACAGAGACTGATGCCGATGAGTATACATCGAAAATAGTACCGGGCAAGATAGAAATAATAATTATTATTATTTGTCCAAAAATCATATAGGAAAGTTGACGATCAGCTCCTTGTAATTGACGTGTATTTGTTAAAGTACGCATATTTCGATAGGCAAGTGTACCAAATACAATGACAGTAACCAGTGGAACTGCTGTATAGAGAAGCCAATTATCAACATAATTATAGTAAGTTCCCCAGATCTCATTGTAATTGGCACAAACATTCGAACTGAATATTAAAAAACACATGTATAGGAAAATGACATAAAGACTTTCAAGATGGTTTCTTCTTTTTCCTATTCATACTCTCTGTCAAAACGATAAATTCGATAAAAATTTTTGCCATAGTTCTCTCCAGTTCATGGGTGATTAAATTTGAAATTATAGTAGAAATATCTACTTTTTCATTTTCATAATCTATTTCTAATTGTAAAAAATTAAATAAGTAATTTAATGAATATAAAAGATTCATCATGCATTTCTAATTTGATCATCTAGGTATCTTATTTACATTGAAGCATATACTAAGTTTTGTCATAATTTTTAATACAATACTAGATAAGTAATTCTGACAGTTGCTGTGAAATAATTCACATAGAAAACTGATATATTTTATCATAAGCACTGACAAGTATGTTGCATCTGGTTATTCTATAAAAACAATCATTTTGGTAGATATATGTATTTAAAAAAATCGCAAATCTATCAAGATTGTTATATTAACTTCTTTTCGCTATAATAAGCTCTGAATTTGACACCTTAGTTTTCCTTTTGAATTGAACCAAAATATAAATTATAACTTTCTAACCTTATATAAGTGAAAATAAGATCTGGTATACATGTAAGTATCCAGAAAACAACTACACCAGCACTAATACAATAAGCCCATTTGATCTTGCTCAATTGTCGTAGATTAGCTGATCGTGAGGTCATCAGAAAACGATCAATTGTTGCTAACCATTCGCATGTCATTGCCACACCAAGACAAGTATCAATAAGATATGCCTTTATTTTGCACCACCCAGGTGAGAGAAGAGTTAAATCTATATCAAAGCCAATAGCAGAAATACGAGATATTCCTGAAACCAAGTACTGCACAGATTGTGCAATCGCTGCTATAAGTAGAAAGAATGTGCATGGCTGAGTACGATATATACGTGAAGTTGAAAGTATAATTGTATTCATTAAACTACCAAAAAAACCTATACAGCAGCATGGAATAAGCACATAAAGTGTATACATTTGAGTGATGTACGACCATGATGCCATAGTATGTGCCTGTTTATTTGCAGAATATTTTCACTAAATATTGTTTGTGCACTGCTGAAAAAGATGATATAAACATTTTCAAAACTAATCAAAATCGTTCTCTATATAATATTTTTGTTTGTTTTATTGAATGGATTTTCGGACCTGTTCTTCTCTCTTTAGGAAGGAACGTCATTTTAACTCTCGGTATTTATGACAGTGAATACACTTAGCAGAAGTCAAATGCGTAGAATACTTTGTTTTGCAGAATGCTTGAAAAATCTAATTAAATAGCGTACATTTTGAATGGGTGAGAGCGAACGACTCATTATCTTTCTAGTCACATCCACATATATACCTGTTACTTTTCATTCAAAACTTTATATCTTCGTCGACATCATGAAAGTCAGATAATTTTTCAGTTCTGAAATTTGTAAGAGTTTATTGTTCTCGAAATTTCGATACGTCTCATTTTATCGTGTGAAAATCTTTTCTTTTCAGAACAAAATATATTTGCAATAGTGTTGCGATAGGCTCAATACTTTTCTTTTATCATTCTACAAATATATCCGTTAGAAAGCGTCTTGAATCATCCAATAGTAATAAATATTCTTTCGTTAATGTTCGTAACACTACTTACCAAGTATCGTATTAATAGAGTAAATATTGTAAAATATAGTCGTTTGAAATAGTTTTTCTTTTCTCAACTAAAAATGAAAACTATGCATTTTTCTTCCATCTATTATATGTGTTTTATTTCTTGACGTCACAAATGCGATGAAGTAATGCATATTAAATTAAAATTCTGAAGATTTTATTTGATATGTTTCATGCTTTCTGATTCTATTGAGTTGTTCTAAAAAAAAGCATGATACTCAGAAAGTATTTTCATAAAAATAGTAATTAATAGTACCCAGAAAGAAAAATTTTGAATTAATATGTCCTTGATAAATAAGTAGATTATTTGATGATGTTTTTTTCATGATAATTTCTGGCTGAGAAAACAGAAAAATTATGATATTTTCTAGTTAAGAAAAAAGAAAGATTGTGATATTTTCTGGTTGAGAAAACAAAAATATTATGATATTTTCCAGTTGAGGAAAAAGAAATGTTACAAAAGGGTCGATTACCTATTAATTGATAATATGAATTATAACTGATATAAGATCTTAAGAGAGACTTCATGGCAATATCGAGCAACGTCCCAATATACGAGGTACTAGACAAAAAAGTGATTTTTGATCTTTTATGTGCATTTGAAAGATCATCTTAAAGGTGTTGGTGTGGAGGGGTGTGTGGCCGTGAGAGAAGAAGAGCCCTTAATACTCTCAGCTACACCCACCCACCTACACCCTTTCCTTTGTATAACATACACCACCTGATTTGGGAGAAGCATTCTTATGGCATGTCAGGTTACAGAAAACTGATTTGATGCATCCAGAGCACCCTCAAATTAAATAACCCTCTAGTCATAATACAGAAAAAACGGTGAAGAAAATGAATGAGACAGCACCAACAAGGAAATAACTGTTCAGTTACTTTTTATTTTCTTCTAGTCAGTTGTATCTTTTCAATGCTGTTCGTCTACAACAATAGTTACTTTAGTTGTATTTATTTTTCTGTATTCCTCGAGATACAATAGAAACAAAAAATAAAAAACACTTTTAGTTCGTTAGAAAAAAACAGAAAAAAGAAATAACAAATAGTTTCAGCTGAATCATAGTTATGTAATTTCAAAAAGATAGTAACATCAATGTATAGTATTTCACTAATGATGGAGGATTACCATATGTGAGCCGCCTTTTAGAATCGGATATGTACCAGTTTGCAGAGCTCGATGGAACTACAATAAGTCTGAAAGGCTTCGTCCTCAAACACTTTTCGTCTCAAATTATGACCATTTCAGCAGATATTTAGTCTCTTCTGGTAAAACGTATATGAACAAATAAATTTACGGGAATCTGACCTTGGTTCATAGATAGATCTCATAGTTGTTAGAATATTCTAAACATGTCATTCTTAAAGAATGTTGAAGAAGTTGCTTTTTTATCTTTTCGCGCGACACATCTTTTTTTTTTTGGATATTCAAATACTAAAGAAAAATACTCTTTAGATACTGAAACTTTTAGGACATTCTAATACTCATAAGATCTATTTATACACTGCATTCGAGATAAAAATTGTATAATTCAATTTGTTCATACATAGCAAATCCATAGTTCAAATATCTCGTGAAATAGTTATAACTTGGAAAGGAGAGCGAATGAAGACGAAGCTCTGTAAGTTTCTTCCAATCTCATCAATGTCCTCAAACTGGTATAAATCCGATTTAAAACGATGCGTTGCGGTAAAAAATCGTTCTTCGCTGGCACATGATGTTAGACAGAAAGAACACATATGAAATACAAACAAAAGAAAAGAAAAGTGGAACGAGAAGGAGACATGATGTTGGAAAGTATAGTCAGAAATATATCTTTAGCATTATTCATCGATGATGAGTCTTACAATTTGGTATAGCAAAATGAAATAGACATGGATACATCATCGTATGAAATAGAATAAGAGGGAAAAGTTATCATGTTTTCTTGAGTAAATAACAAAAGCAAAAAGAACTGAAAAGAATTCTGAATTCAAAGAGCACGCATGTAAGAAAAGCAAAACTGCTGATTGTTTGGTGGACTATCACTATTTTGATCAATTTGAATTAGGTACACTTACTGCACCGCTGATTTGTGTACACTCTCTGCGCTGTCGATCTGTGTAATGCTGTTTGAGGTTAATGTAGGTTATTTTTTGATGATGAAAAATATTGCCAATGCTTCTTTCTTGTTGTTGTTGGCAATCTTGGAGTCGATCATCACAGAATTCAATGTTAAGATCACAGAATGCGCTACAAATTGTCCTGAGATCACGTGAAATGTTAGCAGTGATTGATCGGCATGAATGAATCAGGGGAGCGTGACGACTTCGCCATGCATTGTGGAATCGACTACCATTTGTGAAGAATAAATGAACCATAGACAAATTCGTGAAATATCTAAGGTTATTCCTAATTATTTGTTCAATTTCTGGTGGTGTGTTGTTTCTTAAAATCATCACAAGGATATACTTTTTGTTTGGATTATCCCTTACATATTGTAAGGAATCAGTTAGACTATGATCAATAGGTGCAACGGATGTGAATGGATCTAAATCTAGAATTGGGTCTTTGGCGCTTCCACCAGTATCAACCACTCGTAATGAATATTGATCGTCATCTGGTTGTACTGGTCGCACTGCATCGGTACTCATTATCTTTACAGAATATTAAAAAAAGCAAGAAAACATTTTTATAATTGTAGTGTACAAAACTCACCCGGTCGTCGCGTCTGCCTCTGTTGTTATTCCTTCATGTAATCGTATAGGCACTGATTATTTATCTGAAAATTGAATTCAGTTCATAACCATTATGTAAAGAAATTATTAATAGTTGATAGTACGTTCTAGTTAGAATACTTAAGGAAATGGACGTTAGCTCAGATCTAATATTATCTCGAGATATGCAGAATTTTTGGTCTTTTTCATTGAAAAAATCTTATAATTGATGAGGGTAATTATTCAAAACTTGATCTATATGTATTACACTTTCGAAGCTCAAGGCAAAGGTATTCGTGCTCATAAACTTTGCGATTAGTCAGTAGCATTATTTACGCAATTTGTCGAATGATAGTTTGTTTCACTTTCAATAAATAGTGTTCGGAATGCACATACCCCCACTAACCTTTACTCCTTTGTAGCTACTCAATACAACTCAATAAATGCTACTACGTCCTTTTTTCTGTAGACCATATTTTCGGTGCTGATAACTATGAGACTAAAGGTTGTAGATTATTTGTTTTTAGTATTACTCAGAAGCAGTTAGACTTATTTTAATGATCCCAATATTGTCAAGACGGAATAATTGATTCTGATCAATATCATTTAGCTACACTAAAAAGAATAAAGTGTTTCAGACTGGACCTCATTTTACATGCTCCCTTTTTAAGAAAATCATTTGTTTTATTTCAAAAAGAGTTTTCTAGAAAATTGTTTTGGAATATGAAATGATCTCAATGAAAGTACATTAAAACAGAAGAAAAAAATGTATGATCGGTTAATTTATTGTTTCAGAAATGTAAAATAAATCGTGATTATAATAACTTACAGTAATATTTGGATAACTTGAGGATGGGAAAGACAGTTTTAATAAAACAAATAAGTTCATGTGCCTTACTGAAATATCATACTAATGAAGTTCTGTACGATTGATAATGTCCTGTGTATTTCGTGCCAACAGTTCATAACATTGGCCAGATTTTTCCAACAGATATACTGCCGTCTCTGGATCCTTATTGTTCTTTAAAACTTTCTCAGCAGCATTACCATATGATCTAGCTAAACCATGACCAAGCTTATTTATAAGTCCTTCAATAGTATTGACATAGATCACGTCTGACTGCTTATAATCGGACTTGTCACTATTACACGGTTGTAAATTGATATCCAAACAGTATATTCGCAGAAATTTTGTTTCGAATGGTTTTAATTCTAGCAGTATTAGTTCACACGAGACTAAGTATAGTTCTTGACCATGCGCTTCACATTGGAACAGCAGTCGACTAATCTCTGATGCATTGGCGACGAACAATGTTTGGAATTCGGCAAACGTTGTGGTCAGAATTTTTTGTTGTGCCTTTAGTATGTCTTTGCGGATATCGAAGCAGAGGATAGGATCGTTAATACTAAAGCCGTGGTTTATATATCCTGTGTTCATATTTTTGAGAGTACCCTGGGGTTCAATGAAACCAGTTTTCCGTTCCAAACGTAACCAAAGTACTAATTCTTCCTTAAAAATATTAAAATGTTTTGACGAAGTAGGGTTGGTTTTCACTTGAAAATCACTATGCTCGGGCAGAAAGTTTGCATCGAAGTCGAACCAAGCCTTTTTATTTTTTCTGATGATTGAAAGTCTGTTTTCATACGCATTGTGGGCATTTTGCAAATTGTTCATGGAGAAGATGTTTTTGATAGGATGACGTTCGAGGTGATCGTGCAAAAATAGAAAACGTCGCAGCTGTACGGCTTTTTCATGAATCGCGTCTGCTTTTTCATAAATGTTAACGTTGTCTCGCTTGTGGGATGAATCGATCATCTTATACACATTTATAAGTTTCAGCATGCACTGACAATAGGCGTCCCCGATATCACCAACAAAATCGTCACTAAAACTTTCTTCCATCAAAGAGTCGGTAAAGCCCTGATCTCCTTCATTTTGTTTCAGAAGCTTTGTCAAAAATAAACCATAGGGTTCTCGTTCATATCGATCGATATCTTCCGATGTGGACGCCATACGTATCTTCCATATGCTGTTGTCTTTATAGTATTCAACGCTGTCAATGCGAAAACAGGTACCAATACTGAACAGTACTTCTTGTTCTTCAGGAAACCAGCTATGCTTAGATATGTCAGCAAAAGGTGTTGTCTGATCTTTGGATGGATCAATCATTATTTCAAAAAGGACCGGTTGATAAGTTTCAAAGAATGGTCGCTGAGAAAATGTTAGAGCCAGATCACGGTTGTGCGTGGTGGAAAAAAAACAATTTGTAATTATATGCGTATTATTTCGCATTCGATTCAGGTCGAAATGAGATAATGACGTGCCACGATATAACGTAAGCGCTTTTGTTTCTGTCATCCCGCGTCCCATGGAAGCATGATTGTTTTTCAGTTGATTGACCAGATCGCAAATGAAATTGCGAAATATAATAAGCGTTTCTATATCTTGTGTTCGCAGCGCTTTATTAATCAGTTTATAGAAGAACGAATCCCGCGTATACCACCGAATAGCGTTATTTTGACTGTATGTGTTTTTGAACTCTTCGATTTTGACCAATTCTGCATCGTTATTTCGATAACGGGAATAACACAGTCCATACCAGGCACGAAATCTTTCCTCTACTCGGATCTTTGATAAACGACAAACTGTGTTTGACAGTACTTGATACCACAAAGAAGTTGCTGACTTCTCTGCTGAAAATCTTACGCTGTTTCGCATTTCCTGCAATGTATAAAATGACGCTTGGCATTTGACGGTCATAAGACGGTGAATGTGACCTATCAAATCTAACTCTGTACTGACACATCCAACAACTTTTTCGTAGATAACTTTGATCCACGCATATTTTGCTAACATAGCACAATAAATGACAATAGAGTCGACCGAGAGAATTGAATGAAACGATTCGAGATTTTGAGCAGCACATGAACCAGAAATAATCAGAATTACGGAATCCAGTGTTTGATGGAGATACATAACACACTTTGCAATATCATTATAAACTTTGCAGGTATCGCTTAGTTTGTTTGCGATTTCTTGTGTGCGTAAATCTTCTGGATCAATCAACGAATCAAACCATACTATAGTATAATCTTGTCGATGAGTTGCTATTTCGTCTAGATCCACTAGACGATTGCTCACCTCTAGAAGATGGATACATAAGAAATATAAATACTATCTTGAGGGTGTGGGTGGATGCGGATGTGGGGTGACTGTGGGTGTGAAAATTTTGTTTACTTCTGAGCCAAAACCACCCACACCCACCCACCAACATCTTGAGGGTGTGGGTTTCTTGTGCCAGTAGCGACACATGCTCATACTCACACCCACATCCTCAAGTACATATAAAGAAATAACTTGGGGGATAGCTTTGTCAAGTGCTACATCACTTAGCTCTCTCCTGATCTCGTCATATGTGCGTTCTTATCACTTTCTTTCCTATTTGTTCTTTCTCTTTTGTTCTTCTGTTCACATATATGCTTGAATTTTTCATTTCTTTTGTATCACATACATGTGAGTCGTTTCCTTTCTTTCTATATCTGTCATCTTTCCATATGTGATATATCAGCTGAGATATATCTCAGCCGTTCAACTTCAGTCACTCAATGGAGATTCGCAAAAGTCTATAGTCCACTGCCCTATGTTTAGCCGGTAATCTTTTATAAATAAAGGAGATAGAAAAGAAGTATCTTCCACCTTAGTCATCATCTAGCGGACAATTCAGGTATGACTACATAATATTTTGCACATCTACAGAACCATGTGAGGTGCAATCACCGCCTATACTAGGGGAAGATATTTACTCGTTGCTTTTCGACTTCATTCGATGATTCTCAAACCTCAGCTGGAATCTTTTGCCTAGACTGCGAACTGAAGTTCTAGTTTAAAATATGTTCACATACAACGTACCGGTAACAAACTGGTCATAATCTTCGTTATTTGAAAGATCACTTTCAGTGTTCAAAACAAATGAATCGTCGAAAGCTATCGAGTTCATTTTCGGCGCCTGTTCATGTATGGTCACCCAGTCGTCTTGTAGATTGAAACTGATCATGGAACTTGACATTGTGAACTTTTCAAATAGAGAGTTAAAAATTCAGTGCCTGCACTAAAAAGAAAGAAACTTGCTAATGGTGAAACGTAGCTGTTGCAACTTGCTAGTCAATAGTTGGAAAAAACCAAGGACTGTGGTTCGATGCTTTTACTGCCTATAAGATGTTAATGCCCGCAGATTGCGCCAGATGGCGTTCACTTATGTTTTCTGTGACTATTGGAATCGTTTACCTCTCCGATACCAGGGGTGGGTGTGGATATGGATGTCTCGTGCTGATACCAACACACACCCACGCCCAATAAAACTATCAGATATGAACCAACTTTAGTTACCCTTAATAACAGAAGTTGCTCGAAAATAATTTTATTTATCGTTTAATGTAGTTATTATCTTTAGCATTCTTTTTCAGATTTACGGTTACAAAAAGAAAAAGAATAGTTCTTTATGTTTACATTTAGAAACAGAATAATTCTTGTCTAAAAGAAGTAATATAATGAAAACGAATCAATCCATTTGCCTGTTCGTTTTCAAACATTCATCTATTCCTTTCTCTTATCTACTCTTCAACCCAATACAACAACTCAAAAGAATGATTACACATTCCAAAACACTCTTCAAGATATACTTAACCAAATTCAATACCAAATCATTTATCCATTACTTGTATACACATATCATATGAACGTACTTTCTGAGACTAAAGACATTTTCCATGCGTCTCTCCGTTGTTTTACCAGCCTTTTGAAACATAAACTTTTGTTTATTATTTATCGATTATGACTTTGAATTTACAGTTCTATAAAGTATTACAAACATTGTAAATATTAAAAAATAAATAGGATGATAATGTTTGTAACTTTAATTGAATAAAGATAATATCAAAGGAATCAAATATTTTTTGAAGTAGTGTATTAATAATAGAAAATGTGTTAAAGAAATGCGTAAATAAGTTTGTATGAGCAATTGATTTAGAATAACAGGTAAGAATAGATAACGATTGATTTTATAGATCTGTTAAAAACTATTGATGATTCTAGAAACTTGCAAGAAGAAAATACAACTAAAAATATCGACTCGTATTTATTAGAGGGTGAGAATGCAGATCAATAATGGACACCAACACCCACCGACCCTTAAGATGGTTTATTTATTATTAATTGACTTTTATTTATATATTTTTTTAATTGTAAAACAAAATAAAAAGCATAACAATGTGAAGCAAAAAAAGCTGAAATTTTGATTATCGTATCACTATATACGCGTATCACTGCTGGAAAAAAATATATAGAATTGATTAATATCCATCATGTGTTTTAGATTCATTTTTAAGAATATAACCTTCTTGATTTAAACTCTGACGTGTTTGTAAATGTTGTGAAGAATCTCTCTATATGTAGATATAAATTTAAGAAAATATATTTTTATTATTTGTAGCGAATGAACATACATGATTTCCTTCGACAGTATAAACTTGTGATTTTGGAGAATGATTTATAGTACCATTATCTTTATAAAATTCCAAATGATTCGTTTTTCTTCGCTAGACAAATAAATAAATAAATAAAATTTATTGATAAATAGCAAAATTAACACAAACTTTTTGTGGAGTTAATTCCGTTTCTTTTGGTGACAAATGGTTGTGATTAAGTTGATTAAATTGAGATAATGTTTGATTAACAGTTCGATTAATTCGATGATTAACAACATAATCATATGTTGATATACCATGATAACCTAATAGATAAAGGAAGAAAACGAATTTAAATTTCGAGAAAATCATTTCCGTATTTTTTTACTTACATAAATAAATATGAAAAGCAAGAAGATATAGAGTTAATCCCCAACATGCAATAGCGATAAATGCTATGATTGCTGTTATGACTTGAAATGCGATGAGTGATGACGGAATCATTAATATAGCATATTGATCTATTCAAAAAAAAATAGGTATACGATAGAACAATAAGAGATGCTCTTGAGGACAACTAATGGACACTTAAGATTATGAAAGCTGAAGTGACCTGAGAGAAAACGACTGAATTACATAATCTATTAATATCTTCTCTCATAGTTATTTCATTTTGATTATACTAAAAATCTTACTTGAATTATAAAATGGTTTTAATTTGAGTAACGATGTTGATGATGATAGATCTTGAAATGAGCCAATAAATTGCAGTAAACTATTTATAAATAAAATTAAAGTTCCAATAACAACTAACGATAACATTGAGAGAAATAATCGATAATTTTTTCCTCCAATACATGTATTAAGCCAAACACAATGATGATCAAATGAATAAATACATTTATTACATGATGAACAATGCTTCGCTTTTTCTGTAACATGTACAGAACATATATGACAATAAAGTTCTGTTATAACATGTGCATGTTGACGACGATCAAAATCAGTTTTTGGTCCGATACTTTTCTTTATGACTTCGTCATCAGCCGGATCAATATAAGCTAATCTTATAAAAATAAATAAAAATGGAAGTATAATCAGTGAAGTTAGCACAATATTTAACCATTGCCATGGATGTGTAGGAATATTAACACATAATGTTAAATAATTCATCAGTATAAGAAATAGTATGACTATAATTGCAAAAATTTGTATCCAATGTAATGGTAATGATAATCCATTTCTACGACGTTGACCGGTATTTAATGCAGTTGGACCACAAAATACGATCGCCATCCATATATATAGAAAACAACTTTTTAAGTTAATAAATGTACCTAAATGATAACAACTATGTTTTTTTTAATAAATTAACATGCAGAAATACATTTCAACTTGAATATAAAATTATTGTTGTTGTTTTTTTATAATTTCTTTATAATTTTTATTAAAATTTTCTTTTCTCATCTGTCATGTTACTAAGACTTGTTGTTAATAGTAACACATGACAGTCAAATCAGATGTCGCTCATATACAAGATGCATGAGTTATATTTTTTAATTCTCAAACATTTATCATTTCATAGAAAAAAGGAAATCATGTGTAGTTTATTTGATACTATTTTTTTTATAGATAGACTAGAAACAGTTTTATATATATGTAGATTAAATCTTAATACGTTCAGAATTTGTATGTATGAAACCAAGACGAAGATAAGCATCAACACCAATACGTGATACTTGTCTAAGAGTTAATGAACCACCAAAGAATTTCGCATAGAGACGACAAACTGGAAGACCAAATCCATAACCATACATTTGTTTTGATCTAGACGAAATTTTTAGAAGAATTTTAAAATCCGTGATTTCGTTTTCAACTTACGATTGTGTCATACGTTCTTGAAAATCTGCTAAAATATCCATATGTACTTCTTCTTCTTCTTCTTTTATGACATCACCCGTAAACATATATTTAAATATTTCTTCATCACTTTCATCAATTCCACCACCTTGATCTTTAACAGCAATTGTAAAATTTTCATCAATAGGATTTGATGCAATCACAATTTGACATAATGGTTTATCACGATTTTCTTCAAAATATTGTTTAACGTTTTGTACATTACCCAATGATGCTTTACTACATTCAACAATAGCACGCATTGAATTTTTTAATAATTCTCGTAAAATATATTCGATAATACTTGGAAAATAGGGTAAAGATTCATTCATCGTATTTTCAATTCGAACATGTGGTACAACTGTATATGTTTCAAAACATAGAGAAGAAACATCATTAACACATTGTTGTATAGCTTTAACAGGTGAAAAATTCATACATATTGCACCACGCCAATCGGAACTATTATCTTTTTGTTGTTTATGTAATTCAAGATAATGTTCAGCAAGCAAACGCATTGATAAACGTATTTGTAGGACATTATCAAGAAAATCTTTCATTATTTTATAGGTTTTAAAATGTTTTTGTGCTTCACTACAACCAGTTGATAATAAACCAATAACATCATTATTTTGTACAACAAATATATTAATTAATTCAAGAAATTTTTTTTCATCTTCTTTTGTTTTTATTTGTGGAAAATGAGCAAATGTTTCAAATAATTTTAAATAACGTTCATGTAAAGATAATAATGTTGGATTAACACCAGGTAAAAATGGTATCGATTGAAAATGAGTTAAACAATGTGCTAGACGTACTAATAATTGTTCATGAAGATCAATTGCTGTTTTCATTAAATCAATGGGTGTTGAATGATGTGGTGAACATGCCTCAATCATACGATTTGGATAACAATATTCAATAGGTCGTTGAGAATATTCAATAAGTTCATCATGGGAAGAAAATTTTGATAATTGTTTAACTATCCCTGATAGTGCTGGTGCTTGAGAATGTACATTCGTAGTTGCTTTAATTGTTGATGATAGATATCGATAGAAAGACATTAGAATTCTATATGATCAATAGAATAAATCAAGCAACTGTAGAAAAAAAAATGATTCATCAGACGAATATCGATCGAATCCAAGGACAGTCGTATGAGAGATGTCGGTAATAGTTTCATGAAAAGTTAAGAATATTTATTTATTTAGTCTAATTATAATAGAATAACAAAAGACAAGAAAAAAATATATATATATATTTAGGTTAATTTTGTATACACAAGAAAAATAAATTGAATTTGTTTAATCAAAATTTGATTCACCTAAAGTAACAATACGAATTGTATGAGCTGTTGCAACAAGAAAATTTTCTTCTTCTAATGCTCGAATAGCATCATCAAACATATCACGTGTAATACGTTCATCATTTCGTTCACGCATTTCATTGAATAACATATCTTTTTTAATTGCACCTGCACTTTGTGCTGATTTACGTTCTTTAAGATGACGTTTAAGTGTTTGAGCAAGATCAGCACGAAGACGACGTTCACCAGCACTAATACCTGTTGTTAAAATTGCAACATCAACACGACCTGTTTTAGGATCAACTGCCTATTCAAAATACAAATTATTCATTAAATAAATATCTCACGGCTAAATAATACTTACTGCTTGTTTTAATGCTTCACGATAAAGTCTAAAGAATCAATAATGAAAAAAGAAATGATATGTATATATAATTTACCGTTTTGCTTCTTCAACATCAAGTTCATCGACTATTTCTGAAAGTCGAACTTTAGCATGAGCTTCAGCCAAACGAATTAATGATTCAAGTTGTCGAGGATATGCAGAAATTTGTCCTTTACCACTACCAACTTTACGCATTTCAACATATCTAAAATTTTCATAATATTATTCATCTTTTGTATTCATCTAATAACTTACGAACTAATAAGAAGTTTTCCAGAAGCTTCTGTTAAATTTGGACTAACAAAATTACGTGCATATGAAATATAATCTCGAAGTAAATCGGTATCCTATAGCAAAATGAATGATTTATTCAAAAAAGAGTAATAGATGATATTTACCATTGCTTCATGATCATTTTCACCTTCTTTTCCATATTGATACCATGAAGCTAAATGTTGTGCTAATCGTCGATCATAAGCTTCATCTTGTGGATCAAGTAAAAGAAAAATTAAATCAAAACGTGAAAGTAATGTTGGTGGTAATTGAATATTTTCTATAATAGTTTTTGATTTATTCCATTGTGATTCAATTGGATTAGCAGCAGCTAAAACTGATGTTCGAGCATTTAATGTACATATAATACCAGCTTTAGCTATTGATAATGTTTGCTGTTCCATAACTTCATGAAGGATTGAACGAGCACTTTCACTCATTTTATCAAATTCATCAATACAACAAATACCATTATCAGCAAGAACTAATGCACCACTATAAAACGAACAAAATTTTTTTGTTTTGAATTAATAAAAAAACGAAAATTTTTATTTACGTTTGAAGAACAAGTTGACCAGTTTCAGGATCTTTTGTTACATAAGCTGTTAGACCAACAGCACTTGTACCTTTACCATTAGTATATTGTGCACGTGGTACTAATCGATATATATATTGTTGTAATTGTGATTTAGCTGTACCAGGATCTCCACAAAGTAAAATATTAATTTGTGATCGACAACTTTTTCTTCCAGCATCAACGAAATGTTTTTTTGCACCACCAAATAATTGTAATAAAATACCTTTTTTTATATCTTCATGTCCGAAAATACTTGGAGCTAAAAAGAAATAAATTTTTTCGATAATTTCTTTATTATTAATTTTTACCAATTGCATTTGATAATAATTCATAAATATCTGGACGTTCCGAAAGATTACGAAATTGAGCTAAACGATCTTTAGAAAATTTTGATGAACTAAAATTATACACATAGAAATATTTTATTATAAAAACAAAAAATTTACCTTGATTCTTCATCATCATTTGTTCCTTGTTGTTCAGAACCACCAGCAGTTGAGAATGATTTTTGACGACGAAAATGAATGACATCAATAAATGTACGATAAACCGATCGAACATTTCGTGTTTTAGGATTCATACGAACTGGTACTGCACGAAATATACCAGTAACTTGTACACTAAATCAACGAAATAATCGTACTAGATAAATCAATCAATGATACTTACCGATCACCTGGTTGTACAGCATCAACTAAATCATTATGTGCAACAACAGTAACTGTAACTGGTGTTTGACCAGCTGGCATTTCCTCTTTAGAAAATGGTAAACGAATTTAAATTTACTTTTTATTAGAATAAAAATTTACCTGGTGTTTCTTGTAATTTAATAAATTGTTTATCAGCAAATAATGATCGATTATGAATAAGTTCAAATGAATGTGCTGTATTACATGATGTACATACAGTTGGTTCAACAATTCGACCACGATCAATTTCAACTTGAATATGAAAACTACATGTATTACATGAAAAATATGCTGAACGCATTTCAGGCATAATTAATGATGATCGAATAACCATGCCCGAAAGACTAACTAATTTATCAATATCTAAATAAACAAGGATTGTACGAAAAGAAAATTATTTTTATATTTATTCAAACCTTCAGGATCAAGACAACGCATATTTCGAAACATATCAACATTATATGGTCGTACTTGAATTTGATGTGGTAATGTATCATCTTCATAAATTGTAAAAAATAATTCATTAACAGCTATATCAAATATAGGTATGACTTCTTGAGGATAGGCAAGTAATTGATGATACATTGTTTTATCAATTTGTTTCATATGTAAACAATCAACATTAAGAAATGGACGTTCAAGTAAATGTACTTCTTCTAATTTTTGCATATAGAATGGTTTAGCTGGATCAACACCTTCAAGATTCGCTTCTTCAATATTTAAATGAAATTTTTTCAAAAATCCAATAAATCGACGTTTACAATCATTAACATGTACATCTGTACCCCAAATAACAACTTGATTATCAGCTGTATTTACATCAATATCACCTTCCTAAAAAATTCAAAATTTTGTTTTGAAAATCTTTACATAAATTAATACTTACTAATTCATCTTGTTCATTAACTAAACGTAATTTTCGTGCACTACCAAGATCAGATCGTAATCGTGATGGTGTTGACATTGGTGTACGACCACTAGGACATATATTACTTTGTGCAGGTGATGTTGTAAATGTCATTGGTGAAAATGGCATACCTTCAAAGAATAGATTATATGAAGCAATAATTCATTTTTGTGTACTCAAAAAGTGAGTACACTCTAGAATCGATCAGTGTGTCCGGCCAGCCGTTTACTCGATAACTTTCGAAAGGCTAAGCCGATTCTGATGAAATTTTGTACACAGTTTAATCTCAACGGGACAAAGATAAAACGTACTAGGTGTCTCGAACATTTGATAATTTGTCTAGGTGTTCGGATTCGACCTTTTTTTTTACCATTTTTATCGGGAGTCCGTAAAACATGTTGGTCAGGGGGACCATAGCTTAAAAAAATACAGGTAGATCGGAACGAAATGCTGAGCAGTATGTACAATATTTTCAAGAAATCGGGTGACGATATGGCTGTAGATGTGTACTATGAGAGAAGAATGACATATATACACTCACACCTACACCGACTCTAACACCCTGCTTGCTTTAAATCGCTGTCATTCCGAAGATTTTGTATGTCTTCATATGTCGGGAAGTCGTGACGAACATCTTCTCAGGGAAACCGTAAAAAAAAGTTGGTGCGTTATGTCTCTTTCCCAATGATTTCCATGTACACTTTTTGCAGTACACATAACTCTTGGATAAAATCCGAAGTTTCCACATTTATTTAGTAGCTAACCTCGATTTTTATTTGGAGTACGTCCTGGTGTAAAAGGCATTTGAAGAACTGAACTTGGTGCTGGACTTGCAATTGGTTCATCTTCTTGTAATGCTGTTAATGGATTTCGTTTTTTAGCCGCTAAATAAAACACAAATTATATTCATAAATATGTTTAAAAATAAAATTACGTGTGCGTTGTGTTGATCCAGGTGTTTGTTTTCCTGGTGTTCGACGTTGCTTTGATGGAGTATCATCTGATTTCGATGGTGTTGTCATCTAGAAAAAAAGAACCATATTTTTTTCTCTCTTAATTCATTTGTAAAAAAATTCAATGAATTATAAAAAAATATTTATTTTTATTGATTTAAATAATATTCGTTTCAAGTTTACGTGTAATAGTAACAAGATGTTCATGCATTAAATTCGTTTGTTCATGAATCGAATCAAGTTTTTCCTGTAAATTTATATTTGATAATGTTGTTGATAAACGTGATGAATCAATTAATTTAACAATTTGTTTTAATATTAAAATAAATTCTTCATGTAAACGATGATCTAAATAAAGTGAATTATTATTATTATGATTTTGATTGGTTTGATTATTAAGTGAACGTATTAACATATTCAATTTTAACATATCACTTGATGAATCATTTAATGGTTTAATTATTCTTTGTTGAATAAATATAAAACGTTCAACAATAAATTGAATTGTTTTTAAAAGATTATTTATATTATGCATACGTCTATCGGAACTTGTATCCATATGAATTAAAAGACGAATAATATCATTTAAATATTCATTGATTGTTTTACATAAATGTATATTTAATGGAAAATTATTATTTGAACATGATTGTGTTAATGCACAAGGTATTAATGATGGTGTTGATTTACTTGTTTCTGTTAGATATGGAATATTTAATGATGTTGATGGACAATATGAAAGAAGAAGTTCACCATTAAGCATTGGATGATTTATTTGAGATTCAAAACATGTCATTGTATTGTTATTGTTATTTGTGGATAAATTCATACCATGAATCATTGAAATATCAGGTGCGATGGATGGATTACATGATGGAATAGATGGACCAGTTTTAGAATAAAGATCAAATGGACACATATCAAGAAAAAAATCAAGAGGAATTAATGATGATTTAGACATGACGATTTTATTGAATGAAAAATAGAATAGTATCAAAGTTGCCTAATATTAAATAATAAGTAGTGTAGAAAAAAAGACCGCGAACAAAGAACATAGTCGATATTCGTTGTTAGAAAAAAATTTTATTTTCTTATTAAAATGTTATTGTTTTTCTGAATTATTTTTGTAGAAGTTTTAAATAATTTCAAATATAAATAGAAATAGAAAGAAAGAGGTCGCGCATTTCCTTCTATGCATAATCATAGTGTATATATATATAGTTCATGCTGACCATGAAAAGGATTATTAGTTAAAATTATGTTACATATGTAAAAGCATAATATCCACTTATGCTATTATTCAAATAGATATAAAATAATTTTTCAAATTTTCAAGTTTATTTAATTTAAAAAATCGTTCTTGACAAATAATTTATTTTAAAATCTGTTAAAAAAACATACACCAATCCTTAAACTATATTTAGTATAAAAAAAAACTCGATAAAAAAAAGAAATTCAGTTCATTTTTTATTGCCACCACCTTCTTTTAGTTCATGCACCATTGCTTCTGATAATTTAAACTTTTGTACTTTTCCTGTTGGTGTCATAATAAACTTATCAACAATACGAATGTGTTTCGGAATCTTGAAAAATGCTACTTTGTCTTTCAAAAATTTTGTAATATCATCAGGTTCACATTTTGTTGCATTAGGTTTCAGTTTAATCCATGCACATACTTCTTCACCATATCGTTGATCAGGAATAGAAAATACTTGTGCTTCGGCAACACTTGGATGTTCAATAATAACATTTTCTATTTCGATTGGATAAATATTAACACCGCCACGAATTATCATTTCTTTTCGACGTGAAATATAATAGAGAAAGCCATCTTCATCCATTTTACCTTCATCACCTGTTCGAAGCCATCCGGATGGTGTTAATGTTTCTTTAGTCTTCTCTGGATCATTATAATATCCGACCATCATCGAGAAACCTCGACTCCATATTTCACCTTGTTTGCCAATAGGAACAGCATTTCCTTCTTCATCAGCTATTTTAACTTCTAAACCTTGCATAATTTTTCCTAATGATCCAAGACGTCTTTCTGAATCTTCATCACCAGCCCAGAAACCACTACTGAATATAGCAGCCTGTTCCGTCATTCCATAACCTTGAGAAGCGCGTGTCAGTGGCATTTCTTTTTCAATTTGACGTAAGAAACTAATATGCATTGGACTTGCACCAAGTGCGCCAAATTCTAATGAAGTTAGATCATAGTTTTTTTTGTCAGGATGTCCTAAAATATCTCGAAAAATAATTGGTGCACCCAGGAGACCAGTACATTTTTCTTCATGAATTGCTTTCATAGTCGAAACTGTATCAGGCAAAACATCTGGAAAAACTACTTTACATTTTGCTACAGCAA